TAAACACAAATCTATTATTTTTAACATCACAAGGCTGCAAATAATTTTAAATACTATAATGGGGTAATCACGATAATTTCATCTGCCGGCGAAATTAGAGATATAAATCATCAACTGTTATTTAATCTTAATTTACTGATATTACCAACACTTCTAAAATTATTTTAAATTATTGAAGTTATATGATGGAAAATTATATTAATTACTTATTATTTTATATAAAGTTAATAAAAATGTTAACGCGCATTTTTTATTGTTTAAATATGTTGTGAAAATTATATGACGTACAGTGTAGGTAAAAGTTTATGGTCGGTATGGTAAAATTTAACAGGATATCTAACACAGATATGAAATCATATTTTCAGGGAATAGACAAAGATAACAATCATATTTCCCCTTGGTCTTCCCTCCATATTTCTCTTTGACGTCTATTAGTGAGACGATTAGTTCCGATCAGAGATATTTTACATATCTCTGGTTCCGATCCTATAGTTTATTTTTATGAACGAGAGAGTAATTAGCATAATTTTAACTGTTACCTCCGACCACTCCATGGGCGTGCTCAAGATTAATTGAAAAATTACTTTGAATAATTGTAAAAAATAAATGAATTATTTCAGTGTTATAAAGTGTTATGTGTATGTAAACAAAAGTGACCTCTTTTATCACACACTATATTAGAACTGACTGGCCTACATTAAAAAGGGTTTTAAAAAATTCACATTTTTTTTAATTTTTAAAAATTACAAAAGAGAAAAAGAGTTTTTAAAACCGTCTAAGGTATGTTAAATAGATGAATAAAAATATTAATATAAAACTTACAGCTACTTGTTACAAATCCAAATCAGATTCAAAAGATGAACTTCCAGAACCAAGATTTATAATAACTGGCTCGATCATTTTATCAGTAATATTGTCCAGCTTCCACATTTTTTCCTCTTCTTTAATAGTGTGATTTACTGCCTTTTCCCAGTTTTCAGGTTTTACATTATTTACGGCCTCCAAAAACAACTGCTTAACATCATGAATTTTAAAAGTGGTATTTTTTCTTGAAACTTCACTCTTTATCTGTGCCCATACCAGTTCAATCGGGTTTAATTCACAATGATATGGTGGGGACCTAAGTACTGTCATTCCACGATTTTTGGCAATTTCATCAATTTCGTATTTTTTACATTTTTCTTTATGAAGGGCACACAACGAATAAAGTTCCTTTCTTATAGATCCGGGATGGTACGTAATATTTTTTGAACTCAGCCAATTCTGCAAGTCTTTTTTTAACCACTTGGTTGTGGGCAGTCCTTCTATAAGTCTGGAGTGATAACTTGCATTATCCATTACTATTACACAGTTCTTAGGAAGAAGATCTATCATTTGTTCGAACCATTCTTGAAAGACATCAGCGTTCATGTCTTCATGGTAGTCACCGGTACGAGTTGATTCAAAAGTTAATAAACTACCTTCAACAAAACCGTCTGAACTGCCAATGTGTACTATTATCAGCCTGCGTCCCTTTCCTGATGGTGGGTTTAAACCAGTAGATAAGTTATTTACAAAAGCGTGCCTTTGACTTGTAACAGTTTCATCCTGCCAAAATTTATTTGGTGTATGACCCTCGTTGATCCATGTTTCATCAAGATAAAATATTTTTCTTTTTTGGTTTCTCATTTCCTTTATGGTTCTTAGAAAATGTCTTCTCCATATGACAATATCGCTTCTTTCTAATAAAATAGACTTTCTGGGATTCTTTTTCCAGCGGAAGCCTATTTCTTTTAAAAGTTTCCATAACGTACTTCGACTCATTTCTGGGTAATCCTTATCATCTCGAACTGAGACAAGAACTTTATCCAATGTTGGAAATTCTTGTCTAAAGAAGAATTCATGCACTTTCCGTCGAAGTTCTTCTTTAAAATGATATTCTATTTGAAATTTTGGTTTCCCTGGAGCATTACGTGGCATTTGAAAACTACCACATTTCTCTTCTTTAATAACTCTGTAAATCGTAGATTTCCCAACACCAAGTGTACTGCTAACTAACTCAACGGTCTCATCAACACTTTCACATAAACGTTTGTCTGAAAATGATTTAAAACAATTAAATATTAATGTTTTTTCATTAACTGTTAAAGGACCAATTTTTCGGCGTTTACACGGCACTTCCAAATTTTCCATAACACTAGTATACACAATAAACTGCACCTTGCAACTGAAGTACTACCTACTTTTAGTGAACTGTTAAGAATTTTGAATACGCCACTTGGACCTTCCTACAAAATGGAAAAACCCACTATCACATTTTCTGTGGAATAAGTTTAGAAGGTAATTATCTAGTCAATTACTGTCGTAGATTCCTGGAATTAAAGAATTAAATGTTTGATTGTTGAAACCCTTACTTCGTGGAATGCACTCATTTCAGATAAAATAAAACGTTTTATTTTATCTAAAGAATTAAACTTTATTTTGCAAATAGGTAGGTACTTATTAAACTTTTATTGGTTATATATAACCAATAAAACAAACATCTTACATTTCTTGCAAATTCATTAGTACCTGTTAACCTCCATCACTCCGACACTGGCAACCTTATTTAGGGATTAGTAACCCTCACAACTATTGTATTCTATTCTGCTCCAACCTTTATACCTGGTGGTCATACTCAATTTAAAATTGTTTTCCTATATACTTCTGTAAACTTGTTACAAATATCTGTTTTTCATTGAGTCACCCGTATCAACAGTTTAGGGATTTGCATACATAATTTATTGCTTTATTACTCTCTCATACATAAAAATACACTATAATATACCTAAAAAACTAAAGGTGGGTCGTTGACATTTTTTATCGGAACCGTTTTTCGTAAACTGTAACTAGTTGATTGTTTACCAGTAGTTTCAAATAAGCGAATACACAAACAAACATATTGGCTATCATCGTTTATGTGTATAAGTATTGAAGTAAAAGAATCTAACGAAGGATATATTTATTATAACTTGAAAAATAAATTGAACAATACAAATAGTACTTACATTTACATTACACATTATAAAATCGCGAATCGTATAAATTGATATTTAAAAACATAAGCATGTCAGATCCAGAGCTTTTCCCACTGTTCACTGTTTTCAATGCGTGTAATATTTCTTCTTTTGTAATATATGGACCTATTTCTTTTGACGTAAGTTCTATGTACTCCAGATCTCCTCTTTCATCATCGAACAATTCGTCGATATATTCTGCCCATCTTTGTACTTTCTCATCCGTATGTGTTATAGTATAATAGCAAAAGAGAACCAGGAAGAAGACGCAACTCTTGGCTTAAAAACCTACGGCAATGGACGAACATGACCTCCATAGAACTATTCAGGGCTGCTACAAATAAGATTAAATGGGCAAATGTAATGGCCAACGTCCTTAAGGATAAGGCACCGTAAGAAGAGATGTGTTATAGTAGTCCCGTGTCTATCCAGAATTGCACGAGTGGGATTTTGTTTTCTTAGTCCTTCCAGTTCTTTAACTTTCTTCTTTAGTTTAAACAGACCATATTTATCGTGATTTCTCTTGTTTTCTTTATTCTATGTGCCTGTTCGATATCTCGGTAAAATAATTCTACTTCTTCTTCGTCGGTATTCGCCGTAGGTGCATAAACTTGTATCAAATTCAGTTTGGTATGAGATGTCACTAACTTCAGTACCATTAACCTTTCTGAGATAGGGAAATAGCATTCCATCGCTCTATTAGATTTTTTATTAACTATTACTGCCACGCCATGACTGTGTTGGTTATTCTCGCTACCGAAATAATTATATTGTGGCTTCGTATATTGAAAAACAACCTGGGTTGGGCCACCTGGCTTCACTGATACCCAGCACATCGATATTCAACCTGTTCATTTCTTGAATAACATTGTGTATTTTACCAGACTGAGACATGCTCTGAACATTCCAGGTTCCTATTCTAGTGTTGGGTTGTCTTATTTTATCATCTACGTTCTTTTGACAAGGAATTCGCCGATTAACGACCTGAGATACCTGGTCTTCTTCTCCTCTGCCCGATCTTGCTTCCAAGGGCCATGATCAGTAACGCCGTTATTAGTTTCTAAATCCATGATAATTGTACTAGGGATATCCATGGGGATCTTTATTGTAGTGGTTTCCCCTTGCCTTCCAAATCCTTATGCCGTTAACCAAGGTATTGGTTCATCCACCTTCGAGACCCCAGGACAAAAAGGGTGCCCTACCATCTAACAATTATTCCGCCTAGAGCTGTTGATTAGCAAGTGTGGGATTGCATATACCGGCAATCCGTCGGTGAAATTTTCGCCATATCTGGTTACCCTCACTTAGTTTAGCCTGTAGACCAATCAAGTTGTCCAGGGTGTGGCACTTGGAGCCATAAGGGAGAGTTAGGTGTCTTATGAGGACCAGTTCTCTCGTCTATGACGCTCGATGTGGTCGTTTCGGTAAAAGGTGCTACCTCTATAACACAACCCTACACCTTATTTACCCAACACACAATACACAAACATATAATTTACGTTAAACACACATTACATAAACAAATAATACAATAAAACGAACAAAATACTCACAATTTAATATTCCGAGGGTAAAAACAATTTCCTCAGATATTGTTCAACCAAAAAACTGCTATTATCTACAAGATTGAGGCCAAATAAGTCAAGCGTCAATTTTAAAAAATATAACCTACTAACAAGTTGTAGTAATTTTTTAAAATTATCCTTTTTAAACCACTTCCAGAGTAGAAATCGAAACCTCAAACGGTATTTAAAAATGTAATTATTATTACAATCAATTGTAGTTTAACCCCATATAAACATATTATTAAATTTAGACATGCCACTAGAAACCAGTTTCATAACTAAATTTAAACTATCGTCAGGACTTTATTTCACTTATTATAAAATGATCCCTTTGTATATTCACCTACGCTTATGCCTTTTGACTATTTAACTCATTCTGATTTTACAATTTTTTTTTCAGATTCCTGATAAAATGTCGACAAAAGAAGGGCCACATAATACTATCAACACAAAACTTAGTTGACATAAGCATTCAAATTTTATTGGGAATTATGTATCTGCACGGCCAGCATATTTGTTATAAGGATATCGCCACCAGAAATGTCGTGTAAGTTCGCACATCTTGAAACTAAAAGGGATATATAAAAGAAGTAGCAACTCGTGGATTTATTAATTATTCTTAGCTATTTTTTGCTCAAAGGGTCATAATATTGTATACAGTTTTGCACAGAAGAACCACATGAATTCGATTTTTTTATATATTTTTAATAATCTTACTATAATTTTGGTTTGATCTCATATAGTTCCAATTTTCTTATTATATAGAATTCCATACATGATCAACTTAACGAAATTTACAACATACTTTGACTTTTTTTTATTAATTTATCAATAATTAATCAATATAACTGTAAGACAATCTTTTTAATCTTCTGTTATATGTCACAATTTCACTTCAAATTGTTTTTCTATCAAAATCCTTGCTGCGTTTTTCTTTTATTATCCCTATTATTGCGTTATTTTCTTTTGCGGAAAACTTTTAGTTTTCTTATTTTAATATTATCAATACTGTACCTGCCATGGTTTCGTCATTTGTGATCTAATTATTTGTGTTCTATTGCAGGATTGATGATAAACTCCAAGTCAAAATCACCGACAACTCCTTATCACGTGATCTATTTCCAAATGATTACTTCTGCTTGCAGAATCAAGAAAGCAAACCCGTCAAATGGATGGCCCTGGAGAGTTTGCTCTACAATCAATACACCGCTGCGTCTGATGTGGTAAGTGCAATAAGATTTTATAATATTTTGATTTATGAAAGTTTTTGCTGTGTAACTTGACTGTATATTACCTAACAGTGAACAGGCTAGTTTAATCTATAAAGGCTTGGCACTTGCTGACTACTACTATCAACTGTAGTTCAGAGACTTTGTTTTCTCAATAATTATTAAGATGCAGCTTTTTTAAGTGTTAAGGAAATTTTTGAGATGCGTCAAATCGATATTGGTTGATTAATCAATCGACTACATGACAAGAAAACTTTATTCCCTTTCTTGTTTGTTAAATAATGGTTCTATCTATCTAATTAGCTTTCTTCGGTCCATCTTTGGACGTAGGTCTGCCCAATTCTTTTCCATTCTTCTCTGTCTGTCGCTACAGTCATCCACCTAGAGCGCACGTGCTTTTTAATATCATCTGCACATCTCATTTGGGGCCTTCCTCTGCTTCGATTATATTCCCACGGTCTCCAACTTATAAGAATTTTGTTCCATCCGTCTTTTTTTGTCTCATATTGTGTCCGGCAAATCTCCATTTCAATTTGGCAACTTCTTGTCTAACATCCCTCACTTTCGTTTTCTCTCTAATCCACTCGTTTCTCTTTTGCTCCATTAGTCTTATGTGCATCATTTGTCTTTCCATTGCTCTTTGGATTTTTTATGATTTTGTCCATGTTTGCTTTTGTAAATGTCCACGTTTGGGAACCATAAGTCAGAACAGGGAGTACGCATTGATTGTATACTTTGGTCTTAAGATGCTGTGGATATCTTTTGTTTTTAAGAATGTAGCTTAGTTGGCCCAATGCCGCCCATGGCAGTCTATCGTCTTTTTATCTCTGCTGTTTGGTTTTCTTTGTTAAGTTTTATAGTTTCACCCAGATATAAATTATCCTGAACTTGTCCTATTTTATTTTGTCCTATCCTCATTGTGATGTCTTCATCTCTATTTGTTATGATTTTGGTCTTGCTGTAATTCATATTAAGGTCTATATTTCCAGCTTCTACGTCCAGTTCTTTCATTTCAAACAATTCTTCTTTTTTATCGGTTATCAATACGATGTCATCAGCGAACCTTAGATGGTTCAAGCGTTGTCCACAAATTTTTGTACCTTTTTCTTCCCATTCTAATCTTTTAAAAATATCTTCCTGATTGAAAAATTTTGGTGATGTTGTGTAACCCTATCTCACGCCTCTATTTATTGGTATTGATTTTGTTCCTTCATATACTTTAATTGTTGTTTTGGCTTCCTTATATATACTGGCTATTAATTCCGTATAACTGTAGTCAATTCTGCTCTTAATGAAAGAACTTCTCACTGTCCAATGTTCTACATTGCCGAAACATTTTCGAAATCTATGAACGCTATATATAGAGGAATGTGGTATTCATTTGCTCGTTCTATAAGTATTTTCATACTTAGTAAATGGTCACTTGTGCTGAATCCCTTTCTAAAACCAGCTTGTTCTTTCGACTGGTATCCATGGAATTTTGTCGTCAATCTAGTGGTTAAAATTTTTGTTAGGACTTTATACATAACATTTAGGAGTGTTATAGGACGGTAGTTTTTTATATCTGCTTTATGCCAATTCTTGTGTAGGATACTGGTTACGGATTCCTTCCAGTTGTTTGGGATTGTTTTTTCTTTTAACATCTTGTTAAAAAGGGAATGTAGAGTGTTAATTACCACTTTTCCACCATATTTCAGCATTTCTGTAGTTATTCCATCTTTTCCATGCTATTTTTTGTATTTCATTTCTTTCGATGACTTCTTTATTTCTGATTTGCTTATTTCTGGCTGTAGCTCTAAGTTGACATTTTGTATTTTAACCTTAAATTGTTTTTTTTTGTTAACGGTTAATAAATAATTATACCAAAGTTAATGCAAAAATACATTTAGTAAAATTATAGCATTCATTTACCAAGTCAAAAATCTGAAACAAGCGAAAACCACAGTGAATGTCACAGTGACATACAGTTGGAGTATATCAAATGTCTATAGTGGTATTTTAATGTTTTATGTCTTTCACGTGTTTTGATCAAAGTTGCGTATTTATAAAAGTGCAAAAATAGTGTTAAATCTATAAAAATTGCAGGGTAATCACAAGAAATTTAATACTCCGGTATTTTATATCCAGCAGTGTATTTTGTACTCCTCAAAATTCGCTTTGTACACGAAATGGACCTAAACCAACTAATTATTTCTAACCTCGCGGATCACTCGAAGTCAGCCTCTTAGTAAGCTTCATATGTTTATTCAGACATGAAAATTAAAGCAAAATAACACATATTATTCCTCGATAATTACGGTAATATGCATAATAAGAAACAACATTAATGACTTGAGTAATAACGCGGGAGATTATCGTACAGGAAACTTGAGCTTCAGTGTATGATTATGGTGGAAATCTCTTTAATATTTACACCTTGGAGATGATATCGGGTGATGCAGAAATTAGATACTCCGTGGGCAGATCAGCAAAAGGATTGCTGTTTGAATATTCATAATTAAGTATTTATTTTATTTATCGTATGACTCTTGTCACATAAATACATTGTATAGAACATAATACATTTATTACAAGTTTAAAAACGTACACCTAAATTATATTTACTAATTATGACATGCGGACATCTAATTAAAGTCTAATTTACATTTACAAGGTATTGTAAATGCTCTCTCCAAACTGTATCGTAATTGTATATGTATTTTTAATTTTTCACTAAAACCCTGTATCAATAATGGTGGTAGTGAAAGAAATTGATCTGTGCAATTTCTTTTTGTTCGGAAGTCTGCCTGTTCGATCGGTATTGCTGCAATGAGTTTTGTGCTGATTCAATTAAGTCGTTCTGACATTGCTGATAATAGAGCTATTGGTCTGTAGTTGTTGGGGTTATCATCATTTGGCTTGCCAGGTTTTGATAGGACATTTGAGCGTGTAAGTTCTTAAACTATGTTACCAGTCTTCATGATATATGTGAAAAAGTAAGCCATCTATTCTCTTGCATATTTACCGCTGTTTAGTAAAAATTCGGGGATAATATTATCAACATCTGGGACCTTACCTGGTTTTATATCTGTGAGAACCTTTTGGTGCTCTAGATAACGATACCAGATATGATCCGATTGTATTTTTATTAATTATTCTTGTGTTTCTTATGGAAATCCCACTTTCTAGTTTTCTCAGTAATATCCTAGTTTATCTGCTTGACGTTTGAAAGTTCAGGTTTTTACAGTTTCCGTACATTTTTGTTTTCTCGCTGCATCCATGCTATGGAGCAGTTGGTCAGCTATTTATTTTAGAAGTTTTGTTATAGTTCTTCGCTGTTCTGGGACCAACTGGCAATGTATTCATGACCTGGTATGGTCTAGTCAAGACAAAATATAAATCAGGGTTGTATCCTGGCTCTTCATGCAGCGAACTTAAAGGTAGGTCAGTCTTTAGCATTAAACTTGAATGAGACATGTTTCTGTTTAATCCACTTAACTAGTAGGTTCCCATTGTAGTTTTAAATCTTTAAATTGTCACTGTTTGTGCTAGCTGTTGTATATAGATGGCTGACGGTATGCGTATATGACTTGGGCTGACCAGAACACAGCTGATGAATTGTAAGTGTTAGTAAGAATAATATTTTCAATGTTGACAACAACATTACGGGTTCCATTATTAGTAGATAACTCAAAACATTCATTTATGATCAAAATATTGATATAATATTGCTCTTCGAGACACACTTTACAAAAAACCATTACATGCGGATTCCTAGTTACAAGTTGTATCATACAAACCATCCAGATCATGGAGCACATGCAGGATGGTGCCATAATTATACGTGATTCCATAAAACATTATGAATGGTAAAAAACCAAGAATTACTTACAATTAATCAGCCTAACAATTAAGGAAAAGCATGGACCTGTAACAATATGTGTCAAATACTGCCACATAAATATGCCAACAAAAAAGAACAAGTCCAGGAATATTTTAACACTCTAGGAAACAAACTCATTGTCGGTGAAAATTATAATTCAAAATACCCGATGAAGAGCTGTAGACTAACAACACCAAAGGCAGAGAATTAGCAATGAAAGAAAATAACCTACAACGCTGGACATGTAGCTAGGAGCGATCTAAACAAATGGCATAGATCAATTTTAACCTGGAGACCATACCAACACAAAAGACCCAGAGGCAGACCTCCTATGAGATGGACAGATGGTCTGAAAAGGACTGCCGGGAAAATTGGCTACAAGTAGCGTACAATAAAAAGCAATGGAAGGGAAGACTTGAAGAAGCTTATGTTGAGATGTGGACGTGAATGGCTAGATGAAGAAGAAGAAGAAGAAGAACCTACAACAAATTTCTAGTGGCAAACTCACCTACTGGCCGTCTAATCAAAACAAAACACCTGATGATATTGACTTCTGCGTCACGAAAGGTATCGATACCAAAAAATTCATCGTTAGTAACAATTTTCGAAAAAATCTTAAACAAAGAACAACAACCCATTTTGTATACCAGGAAGACTAATTGTTCTCAATTTAGAAAAACCTAGATAGCCTAATCTTAATAAATCTGTCCTTAGAAAAATAAGCTTCAAATATAATCTGCGGCAGTCAGTCTAACAATATTTGGCGTGCAACTCATGGCTATGTATCACCCCCAAAAAGAAACAACGTGTCTCTCACAATTAAACAAAGAAAATGGGAGAAAAACGATAGGTACGAAAAAAGTGTCAACAATCAAGAACGGAAGAAAATAAAAAAAAATAAAGCAATAAAAGAGTACAAAGAATTAATCCACAAAGAAACCCTTGGAATTCAAAAATGAGAATCAACAATATCGAAATGAAAGTATTAAGATCAATAGCGGGCATATCATTAAGAGACAGAAAAACCATAGAGAAATAACAAATAAGAGAGTGCTTGGTTGCATACATAAAACTGGCACAGTGTGACGTCACTCGATGCTAGCGACCTGATGAACTACTTACTCAACTAAAC